AATCTTCCAAGGAAATATACGTAGAACGAATAAAACCCACTGTCTCGGCTCCGTGGATGTTGGAAGCTCGATACGAAATTTGTCTGGAGATATCTACTTGTAAACTGTCCTCGATCCGAGGCCTTTCTTTCAGAATAACGATGAAATATTTCTACGACTAGTGCAGATGTTTCAATGGCGATTAATTGATATTTCATTCGTGTAAGTGTATCTAGGTGGCAGCATGGCAAACGTAGCGCTTTAGTACTAGCAATTTCAGAACGTTTCTCTATCCGTCTCACTGTTAGACGCGGAATTTATTTTGATGACGCGGCTTAATAAGTGGCATGCATCCAAAGCTGCGCAAGGCATTCGTTCGTACGACCTCGTTAAAAATATCGAACCTGATTCAAATCCACAGCTGGAAATCTCATAGCTATCGTAATAATCGTTGTCGTTCTTTTCTTATTTGACAATTATGATCGATTACAAAGAGAATGGACAATCATGACTTTCTTTTACCTACTATACTTTCCTTTACGTATTACGTGCATTCTGTACAGTTTTTAATGTGTACGATTTTCAAACGTTAAGCATAAATGTACAAGCATCCGTAGTCCAATTACGAATCGCAGGGGGACTGCGTAAAGGCCTTTTCAAAATCTTGTCCCACCGCGACGAACGACTTATCGAATCGATCTTCGGCCAAATTTCAAATAAAGATAACGCGTCGGATAACAAAGAATGGAAAGGAAATTTCAATAAATCTGTTTCGTAATTTCGCGATATTTTCTGCGAAAGTATCGGAAAGCTTAGCTTTCATTTCGTTTAAAAGCGCAATTATTTGCGTGCAATATCGTTCCTTTAAAACGTGCTTTCGCAAGAGCATCGTTTCGTGTAATAAAATGTAAGTAATAAACGATGATCTTGGAGAACGGTAGAACCGATCGAAGCTGCTCCACGATGCCAGAAAGCTATTATTTCCTCCTTTAGACGTGTTCTTTCAGTGCTTGCGGGAGAGGAAAAAATGCGACTGGAATAATAAGAATCCGAAAAAAGGGGTGGGAGGGATATAAATAGAGGGAAGAAAGAAGGAGAAGTAAGATAAAGGATGACATAGATACAAAGAGTTATTCCTCGTGGAAGAACTGGAGAAATTCAAGAGGAGGAACGATGCATTTCCGTGTACAAGTTTTCTTTGAAATCCGTCAGATGATACTCGGAGTGGTGCGTCTCTTCAATTTCATTCAGAATGTAAATTGCGATAACCTGGCCTGATTCCGTACGTGTATGCTGGCTGGGAAAAAGGAGAGTGGCCTAAGTATTTGCTAGAATAGAAATCGTGATGGACGCGGTGATTTAAAGTGGAGTCGTTATGGGTCATCTTTTAAAGATAATAAACGTTCGATCGAGCGATAAAATATGTTAAAGGAAAAATTGAGCTACCGGGAAGCTCAGAGAACGGTGTGACAACGATTCGTACGGATTAACTGGAAAAATTCAATCGACTCGACGGAGCTACGTAAGAGAGATAAAAAATTTGCCGCTGTCATTGGGCAGATGGAAAAGCGGGCAGCGTCTTTCTTATTAAATCGGCGTAGGAACGCGACGCGGCGGATCGTAAAAATTTCTCAGCAAATCCCCCGGTATCTTTAGCACGGCCGAAATTACAATTTAAATAGCGACTCCCTTATTCATCGACCGTCAGATGTGAGCGCTCGCGACTTAAGGGTGGCTATCTTTGCCGCCGTTCCACTCTTTCTTTTTCTTTCTCGATGTCGATGGTACCGCGAGTACGACCGAGCGAGATGGAACGAACGAGAAGTTAGGATCGTGCGAACGGGACGAACGATAGTCGACGACGACGTCTGAGAAACTATCGCGAGAAAGAAAAGTAGAAGGAACGTGTAGAAGGAACGAAAGAGGATGAAAGGCGAGGCAAGGGGTGAATTGGAACGAGAGATAGAAAGCAGAGGGTGGATATTCTTTGTGATGGGATTTGAGAGGCGAGCGAGGAGAGACGTTCTTGACTCGATGCTGTCCTTAAACCACGAAAAAGCTCGAGAAGTCCGAAAGCCAAGGGCTGAGTTCGCGGAAATGAAGATCCGCCGTGGTAGCCTTGTCGCACTTGTTCTTCACCTTCTTTCGTTCTCGACGAAGGAGCGCGCCAGCTTCAACGACCAGACCGCAGTTTTACCTTCGTTCGTTCGTTCGTTCGTTCGTTTTCATCGCCTTTCGTCGGCCACGGTCGACGAGCTTTGAACGAGTTTCCGAAATAATTTCCACCGCTGAATGAGCTCGATTCTTGAGCCACGGCAGACCCTGGTGAGCGGCGTTAATTGCTATCCACCGGTTCAATGGTTAGATGTGTTATCTTTATGACTTTTCTCCTTTCTTTTTAGTCTTTTCTACTTTTAAGTGTAATTAGGAATTTAAAGCGTCGAGATCTTGCTTGAAAATTATTAAGTAAATTAAGAGACGGATATATCGGGGCAAACGCTTTATTTTTAGAGTATAGGAATCTGTTTCTTTAAATATAATTGCTAGCTTTCGAACGATTTCTCGTCTTTTGGAGAGACGAATTTCAACGATAACGTTATTTTCCCACGTAACGTTGTTCCTTCTCCCCTTGAATCAGTGAGTATCATCTATTATTACGTATTCCATATCGTTGCGGTATAATGCAATCTTACGTCGGTTATCCAAATTCCAACGTTCTACGCCATTTACATCCCCTGGCTCGCGTGAAATAAGTAAAGAGCGTAAATCCAAATATGTAGTATTTTTCTGCTAGGCAAATACATTCGAACCAGCAAGCATAAATCGTATATCGTTCGTTAAACGAAAACGTTGCCGAACGACGTTCATTTCGCGTGAAATTATAGTAAATTTGAAGGGACAGTGGCAAAGGAAAAACGATAAATTGTAAATGAAATTACAGTCACCAATTAAAACAAGTCATAAAACGATACAAACTCTACCGCGAGATCAAAGCAAAAGCCCAAGGAACACAGTGCATATTCATCAGTTTCCATCGACCTAGCCCGCCGCCTGTCGGCCGAAACAAAAATCGATATTCCAATTTGTCGAGACATCTAACGACACGATCGACACAGTCGCTCCTTTAAATCGTGTTTTGCCTTTCTCGTTGATCGTTAAGCTTCCCTGTTTTTTTATACCTATAGCTGGATAGTGCAAATTTCAATTTGTAGCCACGCGAACGTCTCGAAATTTCTTGCGACGATTAACCTCTCGTTCCCTGGGCGGAAGGAAACTCGCGACGCATCTCGCGAGGGAAACGCTGCTGGCTGTACGCGAGCGTCGACCTCGAAAATTGGATTTACCCGAGGATCGATAAGCCGTCTCATAAATCTGTCCATTATCGTCCCGTAAAGTTCTCCATACGAGTCGCGAGATCGGCGCAGTTCCACGTCTATAGATTCCTCGCGATCGACAAGATCCAGGGATTGTACGGAAGAAACGATCGAGCAAGGTCTCTGCTAGATTCATCGGTGAATCGAGATTTGCACCAGACGTAAGAAACCCGAATATACAGTATGTGCTGTTTAACTGGAAACGCTCAAACGTAACGATGTAACGTGGTGCGTAAATAAGTTCTTTCCGACGAATTTATTTTTATTCTTCTTAAGTCTGCTCTCTCGTTGTCAGTCTGGAGAATTTCTCTGCGACGCTTTGAAATTTCAGTGCCTCGGTCGAACGTCAAAAAGTCTAAACGAAACACGGTATTCGAGAGATCTACAGGTCCGTGGAGGCGCGATCGGAATATTGGCCGATCCGCAGTGGAAGAGCGGCTGTGAATTCGGCATTCCGAATCGGTCGTCAAGTCTGGAACGGGGGTGTCGAAAAACTAGTCTTCTCTCTTTCTCTCTCTCTCGCTCTCTCTCTCTCTCTCTCCCTGCTTCTTCACCACCCGTTTCCCTTCGAGCTTCTTCGTCCGTTTCTCCACCACCCTCGATTCTCCTCTGTTACTTTCGTCTGCTCGTTTCCCAGCTGCAGCCCCGGCCTGGACCGAGGAGTGCATTAAAATAAATTAATTTTCATGAGATTTTCCCGTAGCGAATGGCCGTTACGGGACTTAAAATAATAATTCAACGAGCCGCATGGGCGAAATTTGCATTTCCACGTCACGGCACGCTTCTGCCAGCCAGCCAGCGACGATCTTCAACGGCGTAACGGAAGTCGGAATAGAATTCAGAAGGCGGCAACGCCAGCTGAATGGAAGATGGGAACAACGTAGAAGAGCGAACACGAGGGCCACCAAATGGGACTGGAGAAGCGAGAAGCCGCTTGTTTATCGTAGAGACAGATATTCGCCGACTCAAGATAGAGAGAAAGAATCGCCGACTCGTTTAAGCGGCAGAAATATTGCCAATTGATAAGCGTCGCTCGCGTGAAATTTCACTCGTACAGCTCAGGGTAAAAGGTATCTGAGCGCTGTCATGGGAATATACTAAGCGAGCCTGTTCGCATATCACGGTTTCCTGAAATTTAAAAGAGTGATTTAACTTTTTAAGTCGCCGGTACAGTAGTGGATTCGCTAATTTCGCGAGAGAAATTACGACGGATAAAAGCTACTTATCTTTATGTTGTTATCCTTTCACGGATTTTAACGAAAGGAATTCTTTTTGTCAAAGAACACGGACAATACGGACGGGTATAAAATAGTTGATATTCTTGATATATCGCTGCTTCGCTAAAAAAAAACGTTTTATTGTACTTTAAGATCCACTTGAAATAATTGAACGTACAGCGACTTCGCTGAGGTTGCCTTTTATTCCCGCTAAAATTGTTCCATGTTCACGATACATAAATTACTTTCGCGAAGTACGCTTCGTGGGATATGGAATAATATCTGTTTTCCTTGTTACTATCGGTATTCTGACTTCGTTTCAAATCATTATACGCAATTGCGAACATTTTCTTGGAAAATCAAGGCATTTGAGATTGAACTCTGGCTTCCAACAACACGAACAATCTCTGGAAACGTTCACTACGCGTGGACTTGATATTTCATGGAATTATCACGTCGTTTCACAGAACGGTCATTAATGGCCTTGCCCGAATGTCGAGTCCTTCGAAGGCGCCGAGTCTCAAAGTTTCAGCATTAATGTTTAGTTCCGTTTTGTGTAAAGCGGTTCTGTGAGCGGAAATCATCGTAAAGCCGGAAGACGAGCGAAACAAAAATATACAAGCAATTATAATTTGTACTATTTTAAAAACCTGCTTGCAACCTGCGTAAGATTCTCGCGATAATCGTAGAAGCCGTTTCGACGTGTCTCCGAGAGGGTAGCGAGGGGACGAGAATTACGATCTCATTTGAGAATGTCCCCAATACCAGATCGAGCGTTGACTCTTTTTATTGGACAGCAGTAAACGTGCCGAGTGGAAGTGCCTCGCAGCGTCGCGTTTATACGCGATAAACCCTTCCGAGTTCGAAAGTGCCCTTCGCCACTCCTTGACCAACCTTGTCGTCTCCTCTATGCCTGAGCCGAGGCAGCGATGGAACGTGTTATTTTCCCTCTTAGGTTTTTCTCGGTTGTCGTAACGGAACAACGTCGGCACGAGAGTGTCTGGTGTCGATTAAACCCGAAGAATTTCCCCGCTTTTATTCGAAATAATAGAACGTTCCGATAAGAGGTATTTCGTATAATGGATTCGTTCTACTGTGTTTCCAATGGGTCCTGCACCAACTAACGGACGGGAATTTAGCGGATCGATTGACCATTTGTCCTTCGCTTCGTCTGTTCGTTGCCAATACGAAGCATTCTGGGAGCGAACGGTAACAGACGATGAAACATGGATACTTTACAAGAACGAGTTCATTGGAAATGCTGAATTTTTAGCAGCTAAATGATCGTTGTACACAGACGAATGTACTTCTGTATATAGGTACTATAGTTTATAGGACAATGCAGAATTCGTCGTATTATCGATCTAATATCGTCTGATTACGAAACAGGTTTCCAACTACGGAGCTCTAACTCACCGAACGTAGACCTTAGAACGTAGAAACAACGATCGTCGACGTCCACGAGAACTCTCGCCGAAAGCTCTGCAACGAAAGAATGAAATTCTTATTAAACAAGTTGTTACAGATTAAAGCTTTTCACGTTTTCACGTACGTGATAATATTTCACGCTTATCAAAGATATTATTTATCGAAGATGTCTATTTATATAAAGATTTATCAAGGATTTATTAAAGGTTCGTTATAGGTTATTTATTATCTATTAAAGATAAAGGTTGTAAATACAATATCTTGCAGTTCTATCACGGTTCTACAGTTCTTGTTAATTAAAAACTTCTTATGAAAACGAAAAGCAGGTGACACACATTCGACACTCCTCCTTGGAGTATCGCGAGGAACGTTATACCCTGTCCCTAGTCGTATCGATGTTAATTAAATTAATTGCAAGGAACGTTGCCTCGTTCGTCGAATCAAAATCCAGAAAAGCTGTATTCCACTAACGAGTTACAAACACATTGAACGAATTTTCGTATCAATCCGCTTGTTCGAAAATTTCGCTAGAGATGCATTTCCATGTTGATAATAGAATACATTCTTTTAAGCTTCGGTGCCAACGATCGATCGGTCCGTTCGTCCTAAACGCACCAAATATTTTGCGTCAGAAGAATCAACGACACGCGTGTCTCGACCGATCGCCACGATGCTTAACCACGCATCGGTCGATGCATCGTATTCTTTCAATTAACTCCTCGAAAACTTATTGTTACGGCGATAACTTATTCGTCGACGCGGTATTCCCTGGACGTTATTCTCGACGTTCGAATAAAACAAACCGAGGCTTGCTCGTGGAGATACGTAGACAGGAAGTAGCCGGAAGCAGTCCCCGGTGACTCTTTTCGAGATGGGGGTCGGGTCCAGCGAGGGAAACGAGCGTGTCGTACCCGTGAGCTTTTCTTCTCCCATGACGATCCTAAAAACCGATGCACCATTCCAGCCTGCTGCAACCCTTCCCCATCCACCCCGTTCATCCTTGGACCGTCCCTCTAGACCGGTCTTTACAAGCTTCTTCTCTCTCGAGTGTTTATGGATCGGAGACGACACTTGGACTCGCTCGGGTTCCTTCGTCGTCGTGACTTCGACCGACCTTCCAGGAATCGTAACGAGGCTGGCCGGGCCGCGTGTTGCGCCACCATTACTTAAAACTAAAATTAGTTCCTCGAGTGCACCCTTGTGGCCTAGCTGCGCCGAACGGGAACCGTTGGAAATTGTTAGACCGTATTGGCAGAGTTCCGGCGCACGCGCTGCCGTACAAACGAAATCGTTGGATCGCGATTACTTTGGAATGCACGTAGAATTTCAGCATGATGGTCGGACTATATAGCGATACCTTTACAAACAGTGGCAGATACATTTGAAAGAAGGTATAGGTCAGATTTGACCGAAAAATCGGCTCTGTTTTTTATCAATTTTATGAATTTTTACAAATTCAAACGATTTTTCACGATTTCTCGTACCTACGTATTTCGTCGGCCATCTATAAATCCATGTCTTGTTTTCACTACTTTTATTCCTTTTTCGAAAAGAAAAGGATAGAACTGCTTCTTCCTACTTCTCGTTTTCTGTAAACGCGAAGACCCAGAGAAGCAGAAAATTCGTACGCATTTTGCCGGACGATCGTGGAGAAATTCCGATGGCCGTATGATTACCAGACAGATGCTCGGCGCGGCACTTTCGTTTCCTCGTTCCTCGTTTGTCCGCATATCTTTGATCTCCTAAAGCGTCACATCGAGCGACGCATCTCAAATGGAAGGGAACAATGCATTTAAATGGGGACGATCCAAGGCGGAAGTCGTAGCTGGGTCGCGTGCACTCTCGTCCGAGCATTCGGCTACGAAACAGTTCGACATAGTTTTCTCCCTGCCACCGTCCAACTGCACATTTTTTTTCGCCGGAAACCACTTAGAAATATTAAACTTTGCCACTCGTGACAAGTCACGCTATCAAAAGTTACGTATCAAAGTGGAAAATGATTAGGAACGAAAATCGCGTAAGGGGAATATGCGAGAAATTGTTATCTTTTGCGATGCTGTGCGTTGGATGATGTAATAAGAGACTGGAGCAGTTCTATAGATGACTCGGTCGAGAAAATTAGAGAAGAAAATTTCTCCGGAAAGTTGCTTGTACATTAATTACTTTTCCCTCGTCATCTTTCATTTTCTTCCTTTTCTTTTTTTACATAATTAGAGACTCTTTTAATTCAATTCGGAAGGATTTATTCATTCACTTTTTTTACTCTTGAGATAGATCAACGTAGAGCGTAGTAACTCCGATGCGAGGTGAAAGAACTTGAATGTGCGTGAAATTGAGATTTGCAAAAATAGTCAAAGAAAAAAATTCGCAGCTCTATCCATAAAAGATAAACATTTTTATCGAGAACCCCGAGTAATAAAATTAATCGTCTAAATTTTCCAATAATTCCCTTTTCGAAAATAATTATATCGCGATATAAATTCATAGCTGTATTACGAGAGTTAATATACTAATTAATATGGTAATTAACGCAGATTATTAATCCGACGTTTTGTCGCTAAAGCTCATTAATATTTATTTTCTTTATGATATTTCGCACAGTATTGCTTCAACTTACCAAGAGATGGTATTTAAAAATGACAGTGCCAGTGGAGTATGAAAGTTTAATAATACCTATCTTTAATCTAGCTTCGTTGAATTAATCCGGAAATAAAATTTTTTCAAGTTGCCTCGTATCGAATCTCTGTGACCGGATTTAAAATGGCGAAAAGCGTGATTCGAGTCTCTTCGATTCTGCTATTTCGCAAAACGTTGGGCTCGCACGTCGTTGATCTATGGCGTTCTAACTTGATTTATCAGGGCGCCCGGATGATATACTCCGATATTCGGATTTGAAATGATAATGCTACTAGCGTGGTATTCGACTGGCTGATTGACTATCGGTTTATTAAGTTGAAAACGGCAATACCAGGGATTCGAGTTGACTACCTTTCTGTCAAACGTTGTCAATTGATATGAGATAGTGGGTTCGAGATATTCCTGAGTCGAATCGAACGTATCTTTAAATCGACGGAAATGATTTTTAAACGTATCTCGTCAATTGGTCGGATATCATATATGTATTCGTTATATTCGAAAGATATAAATCTGAATTCGCGATTAAGCGATCGACGAAGCGTCGAACCCCAAACATCGCTCTTCATCGAAACGTCGTCGCTAATTACGTAAAAAAAGGGAGAGAAGAAAGAAAATGAAAGGGTGTTATATACATATATGTATACGAAACTGTGAGACACGTGCTGTGACGAATGACGAACGCAACGGCGATAAATCAACACTTCCGAAGTATCGTCCGAAAAAAGCGCGCGAGCCCGCAGATGTTACTTCCGTTCGTTCTCCGTTGTTTAAACACCGTCCACGGGATTTCCTCTCTCTCTCTCTCTCTCTCTCTCTCTTTCTATCTTCAACGAAGTCGCGCCCGGCCAACAACCCAATTTTTCGACTCGAAAAACGCGGTCACACGGCGCGCCGCAGTCTAACCGGGTAGAGACGCGAGACCAAACTTTCGTAATTCGCACAGACGCTGCGGAAATGTCAACTGGAACAATCAACGCCGCGCCACGTTGCAACGCGTGTCCCACGGGCACGATGGGCATTCCTTCCGACTAGCGACTGTCAGACTGGCCCTCGATTTATTATGCATTCCGTGAACAACGGTGATTACGAAATTGCACGATGGAAATGGAGGCTCCGGACGAATCGTGTTCGAGCTTGAACGCTCGAAACTTCAGTTCGAACGGTTTATAACGTCGACGGATCTTTTGGTTAGGTTTCAGCCGATCGAAGGATTCTAGGCATTGGATTTTTCCGATCTTTTTACGAATCGTACGAAAGTTGTACAAGATATTCGACGGAATTGTATGTTAATTGTGAGACAGCTTTCGCAACGACGACAATTCTGGACAAAAAGAGAGTGACGCTTTAACTCGCATGTAAACTTCGAAATTGTCTGGTACAAACTCTATAGCAGACCATTAGTATCCTTTATCAGGCTCGTTTTATCGTATCGTAAAACTCTGCCCTTTCTTCTTTTTATATTTTCAATTCTTTTGCCTTCGGTTTCCTTTAAATAATAATGTAACGATTGTGTTTGACAAATATCCTTCGCTGTAGCCGCTCTAACTTTAAAAACGTAGAGAAAGTTTCAAATATTTTATACTTCGCGACAAACGCTACGTACATATTACGCAAATCGATTCGCAAGAAATTATTTAGAGTAGATTAGACGTTACTCTCCGATCTACCGTCATTATCCGCGATTTTCTATCCGATTTATATTTTTGAAACACGCGTACGCATGCACACGTACGCGAGTAGGACGTCAACTTTGTTCTATTCAGCGAGTCACCTAACGGCACGGTGGATCTCGGAATGTTCGACTAGTTTGAGCGGCGAATTACTCGAGGTTTTACGAGCAACTCGAAAATTTGCGATTCCAGCGATAGCTTTCGGTAATTTCCGTTAAAACCGCCCTAAATTAATTTCGCTTTAGTCAGCGTTCAAAATGTGCAGATTTGGAACTTGGAAGGCAACTTTGAATTTAGCTATTACAATTTAACTCTGAATCATTCTTAATCCAGAACGCGTTATGTACACAGAGATCTCGAGAAATTGCTTGTGTAACATGGTTGCAATGGAGATACTAATTTGTAGTAATTGACTTTGAGATTAGATTGAATCCGTAATACGCCTCGAATAAGAAGAAGAAGGCTTGAACGCGTAATACATTTAATACGCGTTATATCGTTCTTTGGTCACTTTTATTCGTTTATAATCGATGATCGTTAATGGCGTTTTTAGAAGCAATACCATTCTCTCGCGTCTTTTTTCTTTCTCTCGTTTTTCCTCTTGCCTTGCTGGCAACGTGTAAACGGTTACTTAGTAGGCAAATAGGTCGGCCAATAGGAACTTATTTCTGCGTCACGAGAAACAAGGGAATTCCCTGTGTGGCTGTGTACTGTGCCGATGATATCATCGCTCGTTCAATCATGGCTCCAGATACACGTGCGTTCAGGACCGTGACTAAATATACGAGAACCCAATCCGTTTTGTTCCTCCTCTCTATCTCTGTTCTTCGAGTCTGACTCGTTGCCCCTGGCCCCGTTGCTCGACCAGTCGATTCACTGACAATGAGATCACAAACACAGCGCAAAAAAACACTTTCTTCCTTTGCCGGACGACTTGGACAAGGTGCTCGCCAACCATGGAATCGCTGGCGCGTGGCTGCCTTTCTTCGGTCTTGAAGTCTCGAGCAACGGGGTTGTTGACACTTTTCGAACGTCATTAAGAACAACTGTATGTATATATAGGTTGTTCACACTGTCTTTGCTGTTTCGAGTATGGACGTTATATCAACGTACATAAAGTTGACTTTTAGTTGATTATTGCGATTTATTCAAGAAAAATACTTTCGCGTTTGTAGTTGTCCATTTTTAGTGGGTTTAAGAACGTTAACCGTTTCTGTTTGGAGAGTTGCTTTCGAAAACTGTTTTAGTCGCGTTTCTAGCCAGAGGATACCGTGATGTGGAAAGTAGCAGAAGGCAACCGCCACGAGAACTGCTCCCATTAAAATGGTTTTTTAACCTACGATACATTCACGAGTTTAAAGTAGCTCTCTTCGTAATTGCTTTTGTGTAACTTAATTGGCCCGCGGCAATGCTCCAGAGTAACGTATTCCACTCGCAAAAAGGTTAAATATAATTAAAGCGTATGAAAATGACGTGTATCAGAGCACGGTGCAAAGTCTTAGAGCTCGTACCACAAAAACAGAAATCTTTCGTATTTAGAGGGACACTTGGTAGTATTCGATTCTATGGTTATTCTTTCAGGAGTATTTAACTCGAGAATTATTAACGTCGTAGCTTTTGTCGTTATCGATTTCCAATTTATAACAATTTGCAGTTCACTGATTTTAGGAAAATGTATAAAATTAAACCAAAGGATATATCTAATTGAAATATCATGAAAAAATGTCGGGTTTCATTAATTCCAATACAAATAAACGTTACGATATCGAGTTTATAGAAATTTCATTTATATATAAAATTTTCATTGAATCGAACGAGAATTAATTTTAGAAGCTGAATCGTAGAGTAGAAAAAGATGAAATATGCTATTTTATTCAGATTGTACAATGAAACGTTGACAACACCGAGTATTCGTGATTGAATAAACAAAACGAAAATGTTCAAAACTGTGACAAATCTTTTTATTTATTTCGTTATTTCGTTTCGTTACGTTCTATCGTTATGTTTTTCCAGGCTTTTTAAAATACGCGCTGCGGCAGTATTTCTATGAAAATTTTTCATCAATTTTATTTGTTATATATGCGGCGAAAGTTCGGAACAAAGCGATGAAAAAACTCAATGAATAATAATTAAATATGTAATTGCTTATTTTGGCGTAACGTTTTCATATTTTATAACAAACACGGATCGTTGGTTTTTTTAATGAAAATAATTTTTAAAATATTTTTTCCTTCATTTCGATCCGGGTAATTCTAACGAATCCTTGAAAGAGTGTACAGGGACATTCGCCAGTCCTTCGACATCGTTGGTCAAAGGAGCGGCGAAATACAAGCGCAACATCGCCGGAACAACGATGGCTTTGTATAGATCTCGTTCCAAACGAAATTAATATCGCGTTTCAGGAACGCGTTATATTTACTTTAAATCGAGAAACGCGTATCGATCAGCGCAGTTTCACACCGTAGGTGTGCTTGCGCGTACATTTCGCAACGTCGATAACTGTTCTAGTACACCCGGAGAGCTGTTACAAATATTTGAGAGGTGACCGTATGGTTCGAGCAAATGAACCAAGTACAGTGGAAGTGACTTTAACACTAACCGTACCGACGCTTCACATATACCTATTTTTAGCCGGTCAATTTCGATTTGCTAATATTCAGACACAGAATTTCATCCATCTGAATACTCGTCTTTTATATTTTCTACGTTTTTCAGTAACTTTCTCATTGAACGCGGAGATATATTCAGGGATAAGACAGAATACAAAACCAATGTATCGAATTCTATGAGATTTGTTCGCCCCTTGGCGTGTTTGATTTCTCGTAGGCTTCGATCTGGGCTTCGTGACTCTGAAAATGATACTGTATTTAGATTTCGTCTAGCTATAGAGAACTCATTACGGAGGGAGTATATTTGTGAGAAGTATTTCTCGAGAATCTGCGACAAGACTTCGTTGTGTTTATGCGTTACCTGACACAGGGTCTGTCAGATTATTCAAGCGCTTACGACGAAGCCATACACGTGTCGCATTCAGATGTCTACGACTATAGCTGGCTGGCTAGATCTACTTGAGTTCAGAACCGAGGACCCAGACGGA